TCCTCCCGCATCTACCGGTGATTCAGTTAAAAAGTACCAAAATTATTAATGCAATGGTCGGACGAAATTGTATCTGAAGTTATTATTTGATCATAATTAAGATTAACATAATGCAAGTTTAACTAGGTTGAATCGTCACCAGTAATTGTGTTGATTCGCGTCTGATTGCGTACAGCCAATTGTCAGTGACACTTGACTCTGAGTGAGATTTCTCAGTTCGCTATACACGTCACTAATCAGTGGTAGATGGGCTTGTCGGTGATCAGATATCAGTTCGCTATATCCGTTAGTTCGCTGTAGAGGGTTCGTTATGTACGTAAATTTTATATGATAATATATAGGAGATAAATCGGGGATTTTTTAACAGTTCGTTGTATCCGTTTGTTCGCTCTATCCGTGTTCTACTGCACACACACACACACACACACACACACACACACACACACACACACACACACACACACACACACACACACACACACATACATACATACATACATACATACATACATTAATTTTCTTCAGTAGGTTCTCCTGCTGCCAACGTTGATGAAGTTATTTTTAAACCAAAAAGCAGTAAACGAAGGTGTGATCACTTCACTCGACGAACACGGCACTCGCCAATCCCATGACGTCATATCACACCTGAAGGCGGGTAATCTCGCCCAGGTTCGAGGGCAAGACATTCTCCAAGACAACATGACGCTGACTTGCATAACCATCTTCACATCTTCACAACTGCCTACCACTCACCTTAGTCTTTGTAATGGGACATGTTGGGTGGGAAAGAGCAACGTCAATAATATAATCTCTTTTCATACTAAGGGCCTTGGAATGAAGTATCGATGTCAATGTCTATCTGATTTTTATCAATTTTATCATTTTATTTTATTTTTTTTATTTATTTATTTTTTTTTGGGGGGGGGGGGAGGAGGGGGGCGGATTAAGTTCCACATCACCAGACAGTAACACCCATTTTTGAATTACTGGTGCGATAACACTTAACTGCTCCATAGTGTATAGAAATGAAAATGTTTCAATGTGCCGGTAGCCAATCTCAGTATTTAGCGACTATTTCGTCCATTGTGCATTGTATACTGTCCAACATGGCTGTTTTGACAAGTCCCACAAGGTCTGGAAAATCGATCAACTCTCGCCCTCCATGTTTCGGTAGACACCCCCACGACATCTACGACACGTCACGGTAAAGTTAGAAACCAATCTGTACCAACCGGATGTTATTGTTGCCTTTGGTTTCTGTATATTTGATGTTGTTTCGTGGACGGCTCGAGCAAACTGCCAACTCACTCAAGGGAGCCTAATCCACGTGTTTGACAGGGGATAGTTTGGGTGTGGTTTATCAGCACCATTTCCATGTTCGTGCGCTTCATCACAGAGCATCACTTAATGTTTTCCTCCCACAATAAGCTGACAGGTGTTTTTGTGGGTTGTTTGTTTGTTGTTTAAAGCCGCCTTAGCTATATATTTCAGCTGTCTGACGGCGGTCTGTAAATAATCGAGTCTGGACCAGACAATCCTGACAGGTGCTTTTTTGTATTTTGTTTGTTGTTTAAAGCCGCCTTAGCAATATTCCAGCTGTCTGACGGCGGTCTGTAAATAATCGAGTCTGGACCAGACAATCCTGTGATAGACACCATAACCAACGATCCACGCAAATGAGATACGATGACATGCATCAACCAAGTCAGCGAGCCTGACCACCTGATCCCGTTAGTCGCCTCTTACGACAAGCATGATAGTCTGTTACGACAAGCATGGTAGTCTGTTCCGACAAGCATGGGTTGTGACAGATGGTGATATATCTGAAACTATGACGGAATGGGATGACGATCAGGCATCCTCCTCGCTGTGTAATATGTTTTATTAGAGAACGAAGATGTAAATCAAGGGATAATACATGGCCTCGGACAACTGTCACAGATTATGTTTAATAACAACACGATCTAGCTGTCGATGGATATATACAATCATAAATAGAGATGAAAGAACAATAGCGTTGCCAAGGATGCGTTATGCGTGCCAGTAATCTGGGTATTTGATATTTGGTGCTATCGATGCGTGTAGGTCTAGACCAGAAGCCTTTGTCAATAGATGCGTCTATTGTCATAAATTACAATGATGTGTTTTAATTTGCACAGATCCGCGTTCTGTAATCTTAATGGTTGTATCTGAATGTTTTTTAGATACAAATTGTATAGTTTCCACAGAAGAAATAATTAATGTGTGTCAACGAATAAGCAATCTCGAGTGTTTGCTGAAACTGATTCCTTTGGGAGTACAGTAAAGTACATTTATAACGAACACGCTTATAACGAACTGACGGATATAACGAACTTTTTTGTTGGCCCCGTCGATTTGCTGTAATTATGCTGTATATTTGCTTATAACGAACTACGGATATAACGAACTAAATTTAGTGGTCCCTTTAAGTTCGTTATAACCGTAGTGGTGAAAATTACATGAATGGATCATTGAAACTCATTAAGATAAAAATCTTGAAATATTTGGACTTTTAGAATTGGGATATTGGGAATATGAGTAAGTGCATTGCTTTTGAACAATATTTCTAAATTGACCAAATTTGCACAAATATCCTTGACTTTTTACCACTTTGATGAAACGCACAAACATGCTTATGGTGCTGACAAACCAGGGAACTTTGGTGAACCTCAATTATTGTGCTCACAAACCAAGGAGCTTTGACGAAACACTATTATTGTGCTGACAAACCAAGGAATTTTGGTGAACCACAATTATTGTGCTGACAAACCAAGGAATGTTGGTGATCCACACTTATTGTGCTGACAAACCAAGGAATAGTGGGGAGCCACAACTATTGTGCTGATAAACCAATGAACTTTGGGGAACCACAATTATTGTGCTGACAAACCAAGGAGCCTTGGTAAACCACACAAACACAATCATTGTGCTGACAAAGCAAGGATGTTTTGGTGAACCACAAGTTTGATACAGAAAACCAAGGCTCACAATAGAACCAGCAACTCATTCCACCACGGTTGACTACATCGCTGACGTTGCTGGTGTCTGCATCATTGATGTTAACCACATGTTGTTTCGTGAAGCAGAAAGTGACACTCCGTCGGATAACATTGCTTGCCGCGGCTGGTTTATGTAGGTCAAAGCTACAAAACCCTTTCCATATTTATAAGAAATCTTCGGTTGTACGATTCAGACTATATCATGAGCATGTGTTTATGAATCACTATGAAATAGTGATGACAACAGGCGTTCGCGAAAAGGTGAACGTATTCTGCCCGACCGTTGGCACGCATCACAAACACATGCAAAGTCAAGTCAAGTGTTCACCTGAAAAAGACGGGATTATGTTGTACAAGCAAAAATATGGAATTGCATCAGGCGATTATTTTGGTCACGGGTGCGTCAAATTTGGAAATTTCCTCCACATGTCTACCACAAAATGTTTTGAAAGCTTCACTTTGGCCTTGTAACCATGCCATAGTTGTTCCATAGTCCTATGATCATGGCGTTGAATCCCAAATTGATTATTATGAATTTAGTTGCATTGTCAGCACGAGCTACCACCCCCTCTTCATAACCATCATCATCATTTCTTGGTTTTGTTTTTATTTACGTGTTTGTTTGTTTTGGGGTTTTTTTGTATTGTGGTTTGTTAGTTTCTTTGTTTGATTTGTTTTTGATTACCATGTTTTGAAGATTACATTAATCAGTTTGATGTTTTTTTTATCAAGGTATTGAAGTTCACGACGGTAAAGGTTGTGGTAACTTTGTAGCGTGAACATTCAATCTCGTGTTGCGTTTGACCTTTCACTTTGTCCGTGAGTGTTGATATTATGGGTCCCGATCCTCTGATCATGAAACACAAGCAACTGTAATCAAAGGCGGTGTGAATTGCGTCGGAGCGCCGAGCAAACAGCCAGTCTCGAGGGGAGATGAATCGCTATATGAAAAGATTCTTTCTCGTCAAATTTCTCACTCACTCGCATTTCTGGTAATGCATTGAATGGTAATAGAGAGAATATGTTATGAATAATGGCATCTTGTGCTTTGATTCTGAAACGGGATATTTGTCCTTGATAGGCATTGTCTTGGAGGTGTTAGTTATCCGGCTCTCCGTTGTCTTAAATAACGCTGCAACGACCTTGTGAGTCTCATTTAATACCGCTTCAGCCGAAATTAAATCCTTCGCTTTTAATTCGTGTCCTTTTTCAAAGGTAATTAGTTGTTTGAAGTAAAGATTATTTATTACATATTTTGGGTAACACATTTTCTTCAAAGGAAAATTCCTAAATGGTTTTCCTTATCTTCTGTGAAACCAGAGTGTACCAGATTCCGGGTTAACATAGGGCCCAGCAAACAATGCTTGTACGAGGCGACTTAATGGATCAGGTAAGTGAGTGAGTATGGTTTTTATGCCGCTTTTAGCAATATTCCAGCAATATCACGGCGGGGGACACCAGAAATGGGCTTCACACTTTGTACCCATGTCGGGAATCGAACCCGGGTCTTCGGCGTGACGAGCGAACGCTTTAACCACTAGGCTACCCGACCGCCCCCTAAATGAATCGAGGGTTAATGGGCTGTGTGTGTGTCATCGCACCCGGATGATGTGGGACGTTGCTCATGATATCAATCACTGGTTCGTCTGGTTCAGATTCGATTATTTCCAGCTGGAATATTGCTGACGGCGTAAAACAATAAATAAATAGTCATTACACAGTAATGTTTTTTATCAGATCTCAAATCAGATTGCCGCATACGAGAACTCTTCCGACCCACTATATTAAGTGATCATATCTAACCAGGGAACATTTACGCTGCACTATCTTCAGCCCCACGCCAGATCTGATGAAATCACCGAATTCTCATTACATCGCCCTAAAACAACTATCAACACCTGCTGCTACAAGCAAATGCTATTTTCCTGTCACTGGTTCTAATTAACCGGCCGCAGTTGAGACTGTGAGAACTGCTTGCAGTACAACTAGTTCTGGTGGCTGATTAAAGCTAGCCGAGCCACAATCAATACGCCAGGAGAGAGGTCCACCGGCACCATCCCTCGACTCGCAAAGCGTTCGTCTACCCTGACTTGGGACCTGTTTTCTCTGGCGGAGGATTTCTTCAGGTCCTTCGGATAAAGAATGTTGTGATTTGGACGCTTAAATTGTTTTGAATTGAAGGAGCTACCTCTAACTATATTTTATTCGTTATACCAAAGGCTGCGGACGTAGTCCTTCCGAACTCAGGTAAGTCGACTATGGTGAAATTTCCTATTGCTATTGAATCTTTCATCGATTCGTTGAGAAAACAAATCAAGAGAAGTTGGAGCCGATTGTAAACTGTGTCCCTAGTTCATATGATGCGGTTTTTAGCAATCATTTTCTGAAGTTTCTTTGGAAAGGTCAGTTAAATGTTTATAGTGATTGACATTAAACCAACAAACCAATATAAGACATTATAGATTTGCTGCAATTGTATGTATTGGACATTGGTTGCTAATGGTAATGTTTCCTCTTCTCGGTAATCGCGATGTTCAAGTATGGAGTTATTGATATAGGTTTAGTAAGTAAATAGAGGGTTCTAATCATGGCACTCTTCGTCAATACGGTTCATTTTCTGATCGTTATTGGATACCCCAAGGAGTGATCGATTTCCTATCAAATCTCATCTAAACCTGACTTGGCCGTCCACGCCGTTGCTCTTGGTGATTGTGATTGAGGTTGAAATTGACACGACAGTCGACATAACTGTTTGGACCTCAGTGCCATTCCCAAACGTTAACCAATTAAAGAAGACGATATTATTGTCTAAGACAAACTGTTTATGCCCGTCGTTTGAGGAATTGCTTTTTGTTGAAACCTGATGTTCATATGTATACTATCAGGTAAATATTTACACGTAAATGAGTTTTGTCAAAATAATGTTCTAATTTGCCATGTCGAACCGCTACTTCAATGCTCTCTGCTTAGTACCTGTGACGCGGCAGTGACTGACAATTTATTCATGGCCTCGGCTTGTAGGAAACAGATTATATTTTCAGCCAGTGTTTCAAAGCATTATTGTTTACTATCATGGAAGGCGGTGCCAAATAATTTCAGAATATCATGTTCAGCGACCAATGTTTTTCCTTGGCTAGAACCTGACGACAAATACATTTATTCCAGATTATGTGTTTCAAACAAGACTCTCAGGCCCCTATCGCAGCACCCAAGATGGACGTTACCTTAGTGATCATAACAATGTGATTTATTTAATTTCAAAACGTCAATGTTTTAAGGGTATTCATCTTCACATTTGTGCTGTTGCTCCAATGACTTTATCACTACTAGGGTCGTTTACAACTACCACGACCGTAGTTGTTACGTTACTGCTACTCTACTACTACTACTACTCCTGTTACTACCACTACTACCTCTACTACTGCTACTGACAAATTGGAGTAGTGGTAATGAAACGGTAATTGCGATCAACACATCTGATAAGACTTTACGGTTGCCCTGAATCCCAATACTCCGTGTTTGAACGATTCCATGCAGAAAAAACGTAGACATATCGTCTATTGCGACTTTAAACAGAACTACGTCATAAAAAATGCATCCTTTCATCTAAACAAAAATAACGGCAGACCTCAACATCGATATGGAACGACTACTGCAATAATTATATTTCTCGCAAACGCCAGCCCTAATTTTAATGTTCTCATGTGTGGTATCCATTTCGACATGTTTGATGTTTGCGCAAAACCCCGAGCTACTGGCGAATACCTGTGCCATGCTCTGATGGTTGGACATGGAAGCTCACAACAAACACTCGCCAATCGATATCCGCCTGTATTTGTTTAACACTTGTATTTCAAACCTCACTTTAAAAACTACTTTTTTTCTGGTAGCCTGAAATTAGTTCTTGTTTGCGATGACAGTTCTGCCCCTTTTCATCAACAAATATTCAGAAATCGTTAAAGTCTTGTTGACTGACTTTGATTGCATTTGTGAGCTTAATTGAAGCGGATGTCAAATTTCTTGCCATGTCTTAATTGTAGAGACGAAATTTATCAATGTCGACAATGTATTCTGCTCAATTTGTGAAAAGCAACGCGACTATCCATGTGTACTTTACAATTAGGAGATGGCATGGATTGTTTGTGCCAAATATACAATTACTTGGGTGGGTGAATTTGTTTTAACGCCCCTTTGAACAGTATTGCAGATATATATCGTCATGATGTTGTAGGGAAGTCCGATTGTTTGGCTTATTTTAAAATAACATTTATACTGCTAAAAGGAATTTAAAAAAGCACCAGACTTTCTCACATGACTATAGTTAATCTGACATGGCCAAAACAATTTTACACAGACCTAGAAACAATCGGGTCGAACCCACCATCAAAGGTTTCTGGCGTGTCCAAGGCGCCTAAGACATCTTGGCCACCCGTGCCCCAGTATACAATGAAACCCTGTTAATCCGGACGATGCGTTTCCCAGTGATGTAGTCCGGATTAACAAATGTCCTGATTAACGGACCATGGACACAAAGTAAGGTGGAAATGTCTGAATATAGATTTTCCCAAAAGCATCCGAGAGAAGGGCGGGGTTCCTGACTAGCGGGTCTTTCTGTATGGACAAATAACGCGAAACAGAAAGGAAGATTCCGAGTGTCATTTGTGTTGAAACACAACACGTGTATAAAACCAGTGGTTATAGAGTCCCGGTACATGTTACATGTGATGTATCAAAGTCTACCGACCGCCTCCGGGGTCTAGTGGTAGAGCGTCCGCCCGGAGAGCGGAAGGTCCGGGGTTCGATCCCCGGCCGCGTCATACCAAAAGACGTTAAAAGATGGTACTTGTTGTTACCCTGTCTGGCGCTCGGCAATAAGGGGTTAAAACAAGGACTGGTCGGCTCTGAGTCAGTATACTGTGTCTGAGTTGGGTATTCATGTTAAACTGCGGCATGGTAACTCAGTGAGCTAGCACTATAAATCGGCATCAGTCCGGTCTAGTACAAGCAGCCACACACACACACACGTGCATGCACGTCGCTATATATGTGCAATAATCTTGGACGCGACGTTAATCTCAATTTCACCTCACCTCACCTCAAAGTCTACCACAATGATTGTAGTTGTCTGAATGTCTCGCCATTGCTCCATTCAGCCCATTCTTTCACAGCTAAGTGATTCACCTCTTGGCAACTTCCAGATTAGAGTGAGTGTTATGGTGTTACGCCGCTTTAAGCAATATTCCAGGAATGTCACGGCGGGGGACACCTGAAATGGGCATCGAACCCGGGTCTTCAGTGTGATGAGCGAACGCTTTAACTACTAGGCTACCCCACCGCCTCTCAAGATTAGAAGCTGTCTGCTGTTTTATGCAAAGCCGCAGCCGTTAAAGGTCTGGCCTAATGTGGACCTGTCTGCTCGTAACGTGCCAGGTTGTAGTCTCTGCCCCTGAACACTCTGCTTGTCATGGCTATTATAGTTATTTCTAACAACGTCAATACTTCATCTGCGTGTGTACACTGCGTTTCAGCATCACATATGAAGAAATGCACTATGCGATGTAAGTGCTGTTTTAACTAGCCAATTGTTTGTACCATTAGTGTACCGCCATCTTGTCTCCGAGAAATACCTGCTCAGTGTCAAGATCGTGAAGTGTTGTCATAGAAATCAATGTAATGTCAGGTGAAATGGGGATTAACGTCGCCAAAATAATTGCACTTATACAGCGACGTGTGTGTGTGTGTGTGTCTGCTTGAACTAGCCGGGACTAATCCCGATTTTTATAGTGCTAGCCTACTGAGATACCATGCCGCAGCTAAACATGAATCTCCCATTCAGACACAGTAAACAGACTTCAAGCGACCGGTCCTTGTTTTTGCCCCTTAATGTCGAACGCCAGGCAGGGTAACAACAAGTACCATTTTTTAACGTATTTTGGTACGACGCAGCCGGGGATCGAGCCCACGACCTTTCGCTCTCCGGGCAGATGGTAAACCACTAGACCACGGAGGCAATGTAATGAAATTAAGAGCATTTATATGACAGGAATACGGATATTACCCCAAAACTTTGGACGAAATAATAATCAGATGAAGTCTCTGGATTTGAGCATCATGTGCACCAAGTAGCACATTTGATTGGATGAGCATATTGCCTTGCACCAATGAGAGCATCGCGTCATGTACTGTAAGCCCGTCGCCTTTGTCTGGAGGCACATGTGATTGGATGAACACATAATCGTGCACCAATCAGAACAGAAAAACGTTCTGTGAGCCCTTACCTAGTGTTTGTCTGATTGGATGGCCGCCTTATCTTGCACCAATCAGAACAACGAGGTATGTGAGTGAATGAGTGAGTGAGTATGGGTTTACGCCGCTTTTAGCAATATTCAAGCAATATCACGGCGGGGAACACCAGAAATGGGCTTCACACATTGTACCCATGTCGGGAATCGAACCCGGGTCTTCGGTGTGACGAGCGAACGCTTTAACCACTAGGCTACCCGACCGCCCCAACGAGGTATGTGTTGTATCACCGACAGAAAAGGGGGAAAGCCGGTTTTATAGTGCTATCCCACTGAGATACCATACCGCAGTTTAACACGGCTACCACTCAGAAAATCAGGGGCATGGTAACAACAAGTGCCATCTTTTAAGAACTTTTTGTGTGATGCTGTGACGGAATCGAACCACCAACCTTATTCTCTCTATCCACTAGACCACGGAGGCGTCATGGGAAAAAACTATGCTGCAGAGGTCGATAATCTAATTGCAGCATTATTGTAGAAGACGAGTGGAATGAGATTGTTCTGTCGAGTACCGGAAGTACCCACTATAACAATACGTTGTAAACATTGTCATCGCACCGCTACAGAGCGGGTCGAATCTCACACCATCTCTCAACGGTTTGCTTGTTCCAGAGTCATTACAGCTCATTGGTGCTCACTCTATCAACCACGTGTCTGGTCCAAGGTTGATTACGTTCATACTTCTATGACGTTTGTTGTCGTTCTTTCTATCAATCACTGGCTCATGTGCTCCGGCCTTGATTTCTGAAAAACTGGTGTGATAATTTAATGTTGTCCATACTATCAACCACTGGATAGTCTGACCGGACTTGATAACCTGCCGACACATGACACTTCATTTCTCTTAGGTCAACTGGGGGCACGGGCGGCCCAGTCGTCTAAGGCGCCGCAATTCGTTGTGCAGAGTTGCGTCCCTTCGGCACGCCAGAAACCTATGATTAT